AGGGGGGAGAAACAAAATTTTAAAAAAGCATGTACCAGCCAGGAGTCCTTTTCCCTTTTCTGAAATATCTGTAGCCTGAACTTCCTTTTTCATAAGTTGCCTTAACAAGTTTGTAGCTAGAGAATACCTCCCAAAGGCCATTTTCTGTAAAAATAATTGGGGAACTTCTGTCTCAGAGGTTAGAGCCCTTCTAAATAACAATTTTATGCTATTGAAATGAATGCTAATGAGAAGATAGAGGCTGCTCTCACATGGGGCAGGGAGCTAGAGAGGTGTGCAGGGAGCTCTTAGTTTCCTCTTGGTGAACTTGAGCAGAGGGGATCTAAAATACTGGTACATACTTTGTTTTTCCTGGATGTAAAGTGCTGGAAAATAAGGGTAATCCATGTTGACTCCTCTCTAGTGGTTGGTGCCAATGGGAGGATGAGAATCTACCACAGTAGCCAGTTAATGGAGCAGCTCTTTCATTTCTAGTGGTAGAGATTCAAGTTTTTGGTATTGTAAGCCCTTGCTTCAAATTCCACCAGTAGTCCAGGTGGGGTTGATTATGGAAGCACTGCAAGTTTGGTGGGATGTGTGAAGTGTCAGGAGAGGGCATTCACAAGATCATCATCTGGCTTCCTTCTAGCCTGTCTTATAGTCTGGAAATGGCAATTTTAAAAGGACAAGTTTCTTTGGGTAAATCTGGTATCTTTTAGTAGACCAATTAAAATAGTTGGAAAAATTCTTCTTTGCAAGCTTTCAGGTACAAACACCCGTCTTCAGGTAGAGGAAGCATCTGCAGTTATTATTTTAAAAGGACAAGCTTTTGCAGGTCCTTCCTGCTCTCAGCCAAACTAGTGGAGTTCTGGCCGTCTCTAGTCCAGCCCCATGCCACAGCAGTACCAGTTAAACCCCATGCTAACCTTGGGCATCCTTCCGCTGTTCTGGCTCAATGTTTGCTGACAACTGAACAATTCATGCAAGAAAATGGAGTTCACTGAGTCAAAAACACAAGAGGCTGAGAGCCTCCTGCCTCAATTTTCATCTCAGACTGCACAGGTTTCCTGTCAAAATAGCCCCCAAGTTGCCCCCTCCACATTGTCAAACCTCAGGCAGAGTAATGTTTGCTGCTACTTATTCTTAGTGGTAATTTTAGATTATTTTTGATTGGTCTTGCCCTCAGAGGTTTTAGAGCAGTCTTTCTGCCTAGAAGGTGAACAGCAGAACATGAGAGATGGCATCGGTACATTCCCACAGCAAGCACTTTAAAACCAGAGAGCAGCTTTGCTCAAGAGCCTGCAGTGCTTCTGACTGCATTGATTAAGGGAGCAAAGAGCCTAAGTATAGGCTCCCCACAGGACTTGAATGCCCAACTGAGCAGTGAGTTTTTTCACAGCTTGGGTGACATGGAACCCTAGCCAAAAGCCCAGCATATTGTCTGTGCGCCAGCAAGTCCAATTTATGACCTATTTTAGGAATGTAAGTGGTACATGGGGCTGTTGCTTTGCCAGATGAGGAAGTCTGCTCTTTGGGAACTGGTGGCTTGAGAATATAAAAATCAATTCAAAACCAGTGTTTGTATTTAATTCCACTGTTTTCAAGACATACGAGAATGCTTCCCAACCAGCTTCTGGCACATAGGCTGCATCTACACTATGCTGATCCTCCCTAAACTTCCCAGAATTCTCACTGCTGCTTCAGCTTGGCAGAAAGGAAGGAGCACTGGGGTTGACAGGGCACTGACATTTTAACCAATTCCTAACTTGGGACAGAGAAGGCCTAGGCAGCATTGGATAAGGTGCCACCATCTTGCCTAGCCTAGAGTTTCCACTACTGCCACTGGTGAGGCTGCACTAGTGGGAAATGATACTGAAGCACAGTGTGAACAGTAGGCAGCCTTAAGAAGGTAATTGTCTGAAACAGTCTCTTGAGGAATGTCATTGCTTTCACTGGGTTCTGCATCATAGCTGAAAAGTATATCCACACCTCTGCGTCCTGGATGTGGGAATCCTCAGGTTTCAAGATTAGACATCCTATGTTGAAAATTATACTTGGATGCATAGGAAGTAAGGATGCATTAGATCAACACATCGTATTTTTACTATGCCTTACGGGGGGGGTAACTTGGGAGTTAGTATATTGTGATACACAAACCAAAACAATCCTTGGAGTGAAGTCACGGATGAATTGTTTTCTAAATCCCTACTCACTCATTCACTGTTTTTGCAAGTAGAGCTCCCACTGACCTCAAGTGGCTTGACTTTCAGACACCAGTTTTTATGGCAGATTTGCCTATGTAAAGACATTAAGAATTGCAGGTTAACTTTGTGGCCTTAAGCTGCAGCTCTTGGGCAGCACAGACATGCCCAATATACCGGAAGTACAGGTTTCTAGGAACATAGCCCCTGCTAAAGCAGTTGAAAAGTGCCAGAAGTGTTTGCCTGGAGCAGACACTGCACTTTCAAAACACAAGGAGAGCAGAAAACTTTCTGAACACAAGGAGAGCAGCCCTTGAGCGAGAACTGTGGAGTTTGGCCCATCAGAGTTTTGAAAAAAATAAATGTCATAGACAATGAACCAAATGCTGCTCTCAGTCACACAGATCTAAATCCAGAAGAACTGTAAAATGGCCCTCAGTTAATGTGCTGGGAGCTACGTATCTGTGACCGGTGAGTGCTTCTAATCCCCTGGAATAATGTGGGCACCACAGATTCAGAGCATTTATGCTTATTTTGTTTAATTGCAAAACTAAATTTTATCTCACACTTTCCCTTTAAAGCAGTTCAAGGCAAATCAAAAAAGAGATTGAGTTGTCTTGCTTGCCATGAAAGGTACTGAGACCTGTGATACCATTTAGTCACTCTTCACACTTGGGTGCACTTCTGCCTTCCCCAGTTATCAGCAGAAAAGAGTAAATGGAGTGATCAGATTTCTAAGCACAAAAGTTAAAGCTAAGTTTGAGAGGGTGACAGCAAGCAGCTCTGAGCCTAGGAACTCAATTAGTCTGAAAGACAACTATCTCATTATCTTTCCCAAAATGATATAAATACATAAGAATATAAAAATTTAAAATAAACTCTCTCTATTGACTGTCTAGATGACTGAATTTCCCTTCTCAATTTCTTTAAACACCCACTTTAGTATTTATTTATTCTAAGCGCGAAGCAGCTGCAATAATTAGACTGTCAGATTCAGAAAGTTAATGAGGAGTCACTGGAGTGGAAGGTTTTGCATTTGTGAGACTGCTGAAGGATAGAAGCTCTGCGCCTTTGCTCTATCTCTTTTTGCTTTTTCTTTTTTTCCCCCCCTCCACTGGGTGGGAAGGAGAGAGCTTGGCAGCACACGGATCGATTTGAATCCTTTTGATTAGTGGGTTACATTCCCACTCCTGTTCTGCCAAATAATGTTTTAGCTGTTGTTCCTTTTTGGGGGGGTTAAAAAATGGGCATGATGAGATTTTTAGGGAAAAGGAAGACTGAAGTAAACAATCCCTCCTCCATTCTTTCCTTCCTCCTCCAAAAATGCACAAGAAAGTGAGCTGAGAGAAAGACATTTCCAAGCTACTTTAAATGCCAGGTGATGTGAACAAGGATGCTAGAAAAGCAATAACATAAGATTTCCCTTACTCAGCTTTTAGAAGTGAAGGCACTGTAAACCAAGGAAGGGTAACTACTAGCTCACTGCTACCAAAACCCAAATAAAAGTTACATGGGTGTCTAGCGTTAAAAAATCTTCCTCTTTCCATTGGCTAAACAATGTCTTGAATTAAAAGGGCTTAACCCTGCAAACATCTGGTGATCTTCAAAAAGCATCTTGACACCCATCTAACTCTGTTCATAGACTCTGTACTGAGACCACTTACCAGTTGATGTGCTTGTAGAGCCAAGGCCTTGGGAAATATGTTTATACAGCATCCTAGACTTTGTTTTCTAGATCATCAGTTCCCAAATTTGGGGGGACAATGGATCACTGTCAAATCTCAAAATGTAATGTATACCACCAAGCACCCAAATGATACAACTTGTATTTGAAAATGCTGTACAAAGGCAAGATAACGTCTTAGCCTTGTACAACCATGGCAGACCACCAGTAGTACATAAAATCCACAGCTTTGGAGGCACTGATTTGGAGTGCCTGCTACTTAAGTAGCGCATTTTTCTAAGTCAGGAACTAGGGACAGTCACAAATTGATGCAGATCAGAGATTTAGCCGCATAAACAGCAATTCAGCCGAAAGGATTTTCCAGACGAATTCTGTTGGCACACAAAACTGTTTCTCTGAAGAGTGGCTTTGAGGAACATTATGCAGATCAGAACTTCACTGAAGGCCCAACTACTGTTGCTGAATTGCTTTTGTCTCCCTCCCCACAAGCCGAGCTTTGGAAGCACAGTAAATTGCAATGGTGTTCTGTACTCCAAACTGCAATAAGGGTAGCCACAACTGAGCCGGTGTGATGAGAAATATATTCTTTCTGTGGTCTTCTCCTTCACTTTTTCTTCACAGCACAATCACTGTTTACAGTCCCAGGAGTGAGGCTGCAACCAGAAATCTGTGACCTATTTGATCCTCACCAGAAGCATCATCCCCAAGCCAGTTCCAGCAAGTTCTGGTGAAATATCAGAATGATCAACTTCCTTTTGGGTGAGGAGCTAAAAGAAGAGAGTTTTAAGCTGCAGCTTCATCAATCCGGGCTATTCGGAGACCCTGCCTCCCACATGGATTGACATGGCTCCAAAAAGTATCTGGCTCTGCTGACAACAAGGAGCTTCCCACCCCCACCGCCCCCCCCAACCCTCCCAGGAGTGAGCAGGGATGTCCCAGGAAAGCAAGCCCAGCTCTGGGGCTGGCAGGGGTGGAAGACCCAGCAGCAGTTGCAGGGGTCTCAGTGAGGATCTGGCAGTGCCCTGGGATTGCCCATCCCATTCTCCCTCCTTCCCCTGTGCAGACAGATGTAAGCAAAAGTGAAACACCCCAAAATAGTACCTCATTTCAAGAGATATTCCTGGGAGTTTGTGCAGCTTGTCCTTTGAAACATTTCAAAGGCATTTGAAACATTTTAATTGTTAAATCTATCTACACTGGCTCCCATGCACCACACACAGAAATGCAGCAAAGATCTCTTGTCTCCCCTGTGCTTGAGGGCAGGCACAAGAAGTGCCCCCGGAACAGATTTACCAATATATGTCTGGGTTTGGTGCATGCCTAGATTTGGCAGCACATGCATTCTGTCAAGGGTGGGACTTCCCTACACTGGAGTTTGTGAGCCCATGTTCTCCCAATGGATGGCTTCTATTCTGTGGTCCTCAGCACTAATCTGCTCTAACCAGCCAGAGATCTGGAGACTGGAATTTATCGTTCAAGCTTTTACATTTTAAGTCTCAAAATGCCAATAAGGGGATGTATTCCATATACCCAACTATACTCTCTTCTGGAGTGGAGGTGAGCACCACCAGGTCACTCCGCCTGATGAATCACCAGTGATGCAAAGCAACTCAGCTAAGGTTATTACAGCATCTAAGGTACCCCAAAGCCTCCGGACTCACTTGACTCTGCTACCACTGATATTTTTGTAACACACTGCCGTTTTGCATGCTATATGTCAGATTCTGCTTTCTGCGTAACACCAGGATAACTTCAGTAGATCTATTTATTTCGGTTTTAAATAAGCACCAGAAACTGCCCCACTATGTATTCTCCAGTGCCTGAATGGTGCTAGGTAAAAATGCTAAAGCTGACACATCCTTGTTTTTATTTGCTTGTTTCAGTTTTAAAGGCAAATGGCTAACAGAAAGTGATGTTTCAACCTGGAAACTTTTTTTTTTTTATAACTTGCTAGGGTTACAAGTAACACCTGTTGCTGAAAGATCATGGGGCTTCCCAGAAATAATTACAGAAACATCCATTTTATCCAGTTTGCTTACATTTAGCATTTGAGAGCAGTTTGTGCCTAGTCCAGGAATGCTCACCCTGCAGCCCACAGAGCCATGACATCAGGCCTGCAAGGACTCCCCACAGGTTATAAAATTTGGTGGTAGAGGAGCAGTGGAAGTACTGTTTCCAAATTCGCACGCCCCACATGGGAGGTCAGAGGTGGGCCATGCCCCCTCCCCCCTGCATGGCCAGATTGGGGTTGGGCCACACCACCTTCCCCCCATGCATCCAGGTCACACCCTGTTGTCCCCCACCAATAGGGCCACGCTCCCTCCCCCGCATGGGACCCAGCCAGGCCCCTTCCCTCCCCTGCAGGGCTGGTCAGGACTGGGACACGTCCTCTTCCCCCACATGGCCAAATAGGGACCAGGCTGTACCCTGTACTTCTGCATGGCCAGATGGGGCCTCAACATGCCCACCTGGGTACTAAACTGAGACCACCAGCTGGATTTGGCCCATAGGTAGACCAGGCACTGCCCATCCAGCCTGCTGGGGGAGAAGGTTGGGCACCACTGGTCTGGCCAGTTTCACAGGTTTCTTTGCATAGTCAGAGGGGTCCTGGATCCATAAATACATGTAACATTCAATTCCACTGAAGTCTGTAGGCATAGTCAGTTGAGTAAAATTATGCTCATGCTTTAGTGTTGGCAGAATCAGTGCAATGCATTTTGCTGCTAAAGCTTCTGTCTAATGCATTTGAAAGCTTGTCTAACTTCATCCCAACTATGCGGTTGGTCCAATAAAAGATATCACACCAGAACAATCCTAGCCTCTTGCATGATTCCTGGACCATTATGGCTACAACATCACTAAGGCAAAATGCAGCCCACGGGCCAGGTGCGGCCCACCAGGCCATTCTATCCGGCCCACAGGACCCTTACAAAATTTAGAAAATAAATATTTATCTGCCCTGGGCTGCCTGTCATGCAGGCCTCGATGGCTTGCCGAAACTCAGTAGCAGCCCTCCACTCAAAATAATTGCCCACCCCTGCTCTAAGGCTACCACACCAACATTTTTAAATACCAAGCCCTACAAAAATCAGCAGAGACTGGCCCTCAGGGCGATTCAGGGATGTGTATAGAACCTTAAACTACTCTTAATGGATTTTTAAAATACAGACTAGATTTCTCGTTAATGTTCCTTTTTCTTCCTCACTTGCCTTACATATTTAACAAACTTAAAAGTCAACTCATACCCTCTTCCACAGGTTAATATGTAAGTAGGGTGACCACCTTTTCCAAATTGGAAGGAGGGACACATATCCACTTGCCCCTGCCCATGCAGCATGGCTGGAGCAGAGCTGAACCGAGCCCATGGGAGGTGGGAGCAGGCTGCCTGCTGCAGGCTCAGGGCTCTCCACCCTACTGTCCTGCTGCCCCTAGGAGCCTCATACCAGCTGCACCCCCATGGCAAGGCACCCCCTGCCTGCCCAGCAGTAGCGAGGGGCACTATGCTGCACACCTGCCATCAGGCGGGCATGAAGCACCTTGCCGTGGTGACACGACCAGTGCAGGACTCCCAGGGCCAGGACAGCAGGGTGGGAAGCCCCAAGCTCACATCTTCCGCTGCCCTGTGCACAAATGTGGGGGGCAAGTGCTTCCCCATACCCCCCTCCCTGGGAGTACATAGAGCAGCAGGCAGCTGCCTCCTGCTCTGCCCCCCCCCAACATGAGCCACCCATGGCTCTGTCCTTCTCCCTGGCCAGGCCCTGCAACCATACTTTCCTCCCTTGTTCCCCATGCACTGCAGCATCCTCAGCCCCAGGCACCAACCCTGCCCCACTCCTTCTCTCACCCTGGGGGGTCTCAATCTGCCCCTCCCCACCATAGACTTACCTGCAGACAGCTGGGGGAGCTGCTTTCCACCACTGCCTGGGGCTGTATTCCTGGCCACGTGCATGTGTACGCGCATACACGTGCACATAGAGGCCCCTGCGTCCTGCTCTCCCCAGCCCCTTGTAGGCTGGAATTCTACCAGCCTGCAAGGAGAAACCTGCCACTTCCCATGTTTTTCTGTGGTGAACAGAAAACAGATTCCTGCATGATACTGCAAATCTGGGACGAATGCTGTCCCTTAGTCATGCAGCCCAGGACTGGGTGGTGATGGTCCCATTTTGGGACTGTCATGCCCAATTAAGGACGGGTGGTCACCCTATCTGTAAGATGTAATCCAGTGGTGCTCAACCCATGGCCTGCAGGCTGCATGTAGCCCATGAAGCCTGAGCAACAGGCCTGCCACCTATGGGGCTGTGCACATGCAGTGAGTTCTCCAAGCTCATCAGCATGTCAGTGTGGACTCTGGCCAGAGCCACTGCTTTCACAAGGTTCCTGAGCCCAGGGGGTGAATGCTGCCTCTGGCAGGGAAAGTAGAGGGTGCAGATAGCAGCAGCATTAAGCCTGGGAGCTCTGAAGCCATGTGAAAGTAAAGCCCCAGGCCAGAGCCTGCACTGACATGCCACTGAGCATGGAGAAAAGGACTGCTCCAGCAGTCCTTTTCTAAGCCTCAGCCCATTTCTGATATTAATTTTTGGCCTCCTTGTAGAAAAGGTTGAGCCCCAGTGATGGAATCCAATACTTAGGTTTTTAGAATTTCTTGGAACAACAAGCTGTAAGATTTCATTGGTAACTTTTTAAAATAATGGAAACATCTTTATGACAATGATAAAGCATTTTTAAAGGAATCTAAACACTACTAACTAGGCATCTAATAGATAAGTATTGTGCTGATACATGAGAAAATTAACTTGACAAATAACATAAAAGACCAGCCTACTTTCATTGCTCAATATGATATAAGTGCAAAGATAATTAAAAGTAAAATATTAAGCATACAAGGCTGAATGGTGGCTTTGCTGTGAACTCACCATAAGGGGCAGCAAATTGTCACTATCTCCTTCCCTTTCTCCCAGTGATCCAGAAAGGAAATTGGCTGTGCTAGATCTGTCCCCAAGGAAATATTGGTTCGAGGCCAAAGCTCCATGAGTCTCCACCTTTCTATACTTCCTCCAGTCTACTTTTCTGAGTGGGAGTTTAGGGACCTCACACTGGTATTTTAGAATGTGGATAGATATTGCAGGGGCCCTGTTAGCACTGTGTGCTGCTATGCTACCTAGGCCATAGTTATGTTAGCATTCATTTGTAATAATCAAAATAACTCAAAGGTAATAACCCAAGGGAAATATTTGGAATTATGATCCATTTTTTAAATTTTAATTTATAAATGTATTTCATCAAGAAAGCTCAGTTCTTACCCTGATAGTGTCCTGTGGTTATAGGGACAGATCCTGCTGCCAGTTATCCCAGCCTGCTTCTGCAATTGCTCCTCTGAAGTCAGAGAAGCTACAGGACCATTCACACTGGTATAACTGAGGGAAGAACCTGGTCCAGGGAGGTTCACTTTTAAAAAAATCATCTTTCAGAGAAAAGAAAGGATCTGATATAGATATCCTGGTTTCTCTTTTGTTTGGCTTTTTTGTTTGTTTTTGACATTGCTTCCCACCCCCCAAGAACAGACTGTCTTGGCAACCAAGATATAACAGTGCAGTCTGGACCTTCAGAATAAATCCAACCATGTGTCGCTTAATAGAGAGATCCCTGGACCAGAAGATGGATGTTCAAACAGGACAGATGGGAGCTGACAATTGAAAGAATGTCAAGACTGATCCAAGGCTTACAGAGACCTGTCACTCCTGCAGTTTGCCTACCATCCCCTCCAACAAAGGGAGCTCCTGAGGGAAGGAGGGGATTAGTCTATAAAGTTGAGTGGAGTCTCAAGGGAAGATGGTTTCTTGGATAAAGTTGTCAACAAAAGGAATTGTTTAAGACTATTTGTTATAATTTCCTAGAGGGAGCTTCTGCCATTACTAACAGGATTATCAGTATACTGGTTCCACACCAGCGAAGCATTAGAAATGCACATTGTGGGCTGGTTGCCTAGAGCTGAATTGAGAGGTCTTCTTATGTCCAAAATAAGTGTAGGTGTTTATGAGCATGGGGGAGGCGAGGAATTAAGGAGAGCCAAACAAAGATTGTTTTTGGTATAATTATTCCACTGAGCATGGGTGTATGAATGAGTTATAAGCCTCTTTTAATCTTCTTGATCTCTGAGCTGCTGACAGACTATGAATAGGAAAAGTACTCCTGGTGGAGGAAAGGCTAGTGGGAGTATCTGAGAGATCTCACCCAACCCAAACTCCCACAGCATTTCTTAGAGGGGCTCTTCTGAAAGTTAGGGGAAAAGTACTTCAATATCAGTGCTATAGTTCAGGGGGTCAGCAACATATGGCATTCAGGCCAAATCCAGCCCGTGGAACCACTGGATCCAGCACTTGAATCCAAAGGGCTTTGGCAGTATTCTGGTGGTGGTGTGCTTCACGAGCACTCACCCCAGAGCTGGGAATCAAGGAGCTGTGCTGGGGCCACGTGCATGCAGCTGGATGGTGGGTAGAAGCAGGTGCAGAGAAAAACTGAGGCCACAGCAGCAACAGCAGGAAAAAGTCACTAATGCATGTGAAAGAAGAATTTGAACAAAAGGAGTGAATGAAGGGGTAAATCCTGGGTTGGGCTGGGCCTCATTAATTTTTGTAAGACACACATAGGCTCCCTGTTTTCCCATCCACAGTGTCATCTGACTCTAGAGGCACTGTGGTAGGATGGCAAGTGCATGCACTGTGTCCTACCACTATCCACTGGGTCCACATAGGTAAATGCAAGGTCAAGAGAGGATGTTATGGTGTGCAGATTCCATCACCTCACTCACCACCCTTCATTTCCCAGGCATGCCAGCTCACCCATTGCAGAAGTTCATGTTCTTGGCACAAACCATCTGTCAAAACTGTTAAAAATACCTCGGTGACTCCCATGCTTACACAGGGGGAAAGTACTTGCTTGGCTTGGGCTCCTGATCTTGGATGCCTGTCTTCACAAGGAATAATTCAGAGAACAGGTTCTTGTTTAGTTCCAATATAATGGTCTCATTTACATCCCCAGTTGTGCCTGTTTGCAGGGACTGCAAATTCTGTGAGTCTTTCTCTTCCTCCACCAAACTGTCCTGAACTGAAACTGGGTGAAGAGATGGATTGTGTCACTAGGGCTAGGGACAGACATTACACATAAACTGGTTTAAGTGATCAGTAATTGGTTTAAACCTGTAACAGGACAGATGTTCAGTGCACATAAACCAGTTTGAAAATGGCTGAAATCAGTTTGAGATAAACCTGGCTGAATGTAGTATCAAACTTAACTGATTTGGCTCATACCTGCTTATGCAATGTCTGTCCCAGACCCCTTGCTGGTTTAAGATAAACCAGACTCCCCCAGCATCCTGGCATGCTCTTTGGGCTGGGTACGGCTCTCTGCTCCACAACAGGGCTGGCCCCTACCCTCCTCTCCCTCACTAGAACTCAGCAGAGACTTGTAGGCAAGGCAGGGTCTGCCTGACTTCCCCCTGCCCTACCCCACCTTTGCTGCTCAAGCAGGAAATCCCCCTTTCCTCTCATCTCTCACAGCAGGGATCCCACCCCAGCAGACCCTTGGCATGTGGTATGATAGCTAATGCAGATGTGTGTGTGTCTCCAATTTCACTGGGCCAGGCAGACAGAACAGTGACTGCTTAAGGCTGTTTGGAGCTAATCAACAGGCCAGCTGGTAAGCTGTTTAAGAAGAGTTTGAACTAATGGAGAAAGGCTGCTGTTTTGCTGGTTGGGAGATAAACGCTGTTGTGAGCCCCCTGCTGGCTTACTCACCTGTCAGTTTGCTGCAGACAGCATAAAGAAGCAGGGCGGGAGAT